AATTTGGGAGGACACTATTTTTTAGCAAAGAAAGCATTTAAAGAAAGTTTAACACACACATGTACCCATGCAGATATCTATACTACTAGATTTGGGTCTCGTCTAGCTCCTCCCCAAAGCCCAAAATATTAGTCTCTTACCTTTGTCCCGTTGACCTGATTTATATCCAGCTCTTCTAGGGATAGAAGTTGGCACAGTTCAATAGGAAAACTCATAAAATGGTTGCTTGAGAAGTTTAATTTCTGGATTGCTTTTAAATTACATATATCTGAAGGAATTGCCTGTAATTTGTTTTCGGAAAGATCAAGTACTTGCAAATTTTTTAAAGTATACAGTTCTTTAGGGAAAGTTTCAAACTTATTACGGCATAAAATAAGTACATGGAGTGATATCATATTGGAAATAGATGGTGGAATTTTCCTTATTTGGTTTTTACCAAGATTCAGAAATTTAAGCTTCATCAGAGAACATAAGTGATCAGAAAATATGAGGAGTTTATTTTCATTCAATTCTAAGTGAAGCAATTGTTTACTGAAAGATACATCCACAGGTATTTCTGAAATAGAATTTCCATTAAAACTGAAATGATAAAGGGAATCTAAAGCACACAGTCCCACTGGGAATTGTGGTATTTTATTATAATTCAATTCAACTTTAGTTAGTTTTCTGCAATTTTTTATTTCAATGGGAACATTTTTTATTATATTTCCTGAAAATTCTAGATTACATATATTGGTAAGATGTGAGATATCTTCACTTATTTTCACTATGTAGTTTCTGTTTACATGTAGTTTTCTCAAATTTTTAAGTTTATATATGTTCTTAGGGAGTTCTATTAATTTGTTATCACTAAGACTGAGGCATTCTAACATTGTACAGTAGGAAATTCTCTCCGGTATATTTTTCAATAAATTTTTATCAAGTATAAGAATCCTAAGTTCTTTAAAATTCTCAATTTTGGGTGAAATAACCTCCAATTTATTGTCAGCTAATTGGAGTTCTTTTATTTTACTTAATTCAAAAATTTCTACAGCCAAAAAAGTAAGTTTATTATGATCCAGTAAAAAGTATTCTAAATTTTTAAGTTCTCTAATTTCTTTTGGCAAACTGCATATCAAATTTCCAGCAAGGTTTAGTGAAATTAATTTTGGAAGGAGGCAGAGAGTTTTAGGAAATATTGTCAACTTATTACATGCCAAGTCAAGAATCCTCAAGTTTTGCAAATTAGGCAGACTCTCTGGTATATGTCTGAATTGATTTTTACTCAAGTTTAAAATTTCTAAGTTTCTAAGACATTCTCTGTCAGGAGAAGAAAAATTCTCAATATAGTTGTCATTTAAAGAGAGTTGCCTTATCTCCTCAAGATTTAGTATTTCTTTAGGTATATGTGATATTTGGTTGTGACTGACATTTAATATCCTTAAATTATTAAGTAACAGAATTTCACATGGAAGTGATGATAACTCATTATTTTGCATGGATATAATTTCAAGTCCTAGGAGATCATCTAAATCTGCCCCTTGAAAAGTTTTTATCTTATTATTATCTAAGTATAGGTATTTAACATATTTCTCTTTTAAATTGTCCTTAGGAAACTCTTGTAAACCCTTGGCCTCAAGATTAACTGTAAAGTTATCTGACCCTAGGTCAAATCTTGCCTGGTTTTCTTCAGAGAGTTGTGCACTAGCTTTTACATTTTCATGAGGCTGAAGGTTAACTAAGGCCAAAGAGTCTGTAGTCACTTCAGTTAGTGATGCTGATGCTGATGATGATACTGATTCGCTTTCTGAAGTCTCTGGCTCTGACTGGGGGCTGGCATCCCTAGTGCTTGTTTCAGAAAACCGAACATTTTGCATTTGTTCTTCAAGAGACTTGCTTCCCGAAGATGCTGACTGTAATGTATCCTTTTCAGTATGAGCATCATAAATCTCATTAGAAGAATTCCTTTCCAGGTAACGAGAGGCTTCATTTAATGAATTTGATGGTTGTGTAATAAATTCAGACTCCTCCATTGACTGTGACCTAAATTGCCTAGTGCTATCTTCTGCGTCTGCTGAAGTGCCCTCCTCTTCTGATATCTTATTTGTTGACATTTTTTGGTATCAGTTCAAGATTGTAACTAATTTTTTCATTTTTTCCTTTGAATCTATAAAACAAATATTGATATTAAAAGGTGAACAAAGATGTCATAAGTTTTCATTATTTCAAAAACATTTCATTTTATGTAATACGTGGAGATATTAATAAAGAATATATAAAACCTCTTCTTCTATGAAAGAGAATAGCAACAGTCAATATCCCATGAATCATAATCTTTATAAAGAATGGTTAAAATGTTACTCAAAGTACAAGTCATAGACAAAAAAATTCTCTTATAAAAAAATAAACAGATCATAGCATAACACTTCCTTTTAAATGAAACTAAGAGAAACTAGCATTAATGAGACAAAATAGCATATATGTTAAAATATTTTTCAAACAACAGAATAGTGAATTTGGGGAATTATTAAACTTCATCCTACTTCCTATTTCTCTAGCTTCTATATTCCTATTTATACATGTGTATGTTTTTCATAGAAGAGAAAACATGCTATATTTCAGCTCGTGTTTCTTGTTTCACTTAATATTATGTTCTCCAGTTACAGGCATTTGCCTATAGATACCTCATTTATCCTTATTTGTATAGTACTCTATTGTATATAAATACCATATTTTCTTTATCCTTTCATGCCTTGATGGACATACACTGTTTCCAAGATCTAGTTATTACAAATTGTGCTGCTGTAAACATGGTGAGCCTGTGTCACTGGCACATGATGCCCTTACTTCTTTTGGAAAAGATATCTACGAGGGGGATAGGTGGGTCATAAGGAGTCTCTATTTTAGTTTTTTCAGGAATCTCTACAGTAATCGCCATAGTGATTTTACTAATTTATATTCCCACCAACAATGTAGAAGAGTTCTTTTTTTTCCTTATCTTTATCCGCATTTTTTATTATTAGATTAGAGATAGTAGAAACAATCCCAGGCACACTAAACAATTTGATCTTTGGTATACACTGTTAAGAAACATACACTGTAAGAATAGCTTCTTAAATAAATGGTGCTGGGAAATTTGGATATCCACATGCAGAAGATTGAATCTAAGGTGCAGGGTCCAGGGTTTGATCCCTGGTCTCCCGTGCTGGCCTCGCCCCTGGGGCACACTGAGACTGCAAATGAGACTGGGCATGGTGGCACATGCTTGTAATCCCAGTGTTTGGGAAGCTGAAAAACAGGAAGGATCACTACAAGTCCAATCTGTGTAGTGACACTCTGTAGGTCCTGTACTAAATACATAAAAAAAGATGGAGTCTAGACTCTATATATCTTACCATGTATTAAACTAAAATAAAAATGGATCGAAGATCTAAGTGCTAAATAGAAACACCTAATCTACAGAAAGATAAAATAGATGCAACTCTCAAAGCCGTAGATGTAGGTAAGGACTTTCTTTACAGAACACCAATGGCACAATAAATAATTTTAAGAATCAACAAGTGAATTCTTATCAAATTAAAAAAACTTTTGCACAGCAAAGGAAACAACTAACAGAGAAAAGACAATAGAATGACAACAAAATTTTTCCAGCTATTCCACAAAGGACTAACATCAAAAATCAAGAATATATAAAGAACTCAACACAATTAGAACCCCCCCCCAATAAAATACCTAATTAAAAAACTGGGCCAGTGAAATGAATAGACTTTTCTCAGAAAAAGTACAAATGGCCAATAAATACATGAAAAGAATGTTGAACATTACTGGCCATTAGAGAAATGCAAATTAAAACTACATTGAGATTCCATTTTCCTCTAGAAAGAATGACTATCATTCTTCAAATCCTTGTTCCTTGATTTTTATAGGGAACATACAATATGTGAATTTCATGCAAAAGTTCAGAAAGTTGCAACCTTTGGCATAAATGGGTACTGTACAAAGTCTGCATTGGCCTCCGAGTGAGAATAATCATAGGTTGACCTTGAATGCTGCACAGCTTAGTATTTGAGTCAGAGATAAGAGCTTCATTTCCATTGGCTCCAGTTAGGTCACATACCTAAGCCCACTGGTTGGTCCAATCCTGAGACCAGGAACTGGCATAACCTGTTGTTTCAGACTCACTCTAGATCCTGAGGTAGTGTCAGCCTCTCCAAACCCCGGAGAGACACCCAAAGGGAGACCAAATGCTGGACAAGTCTTTAGCATGTCCTCTCAACTTCTTAGAAGTCACTCTGCTGACACTTTTTTGACAAAAGTGACAGCCCATTGTATATCATCATTGCTCACTAAGAGAACTACTGACCACCAGTGGCTATTTCAATTCAACTCTAAAATCAAATACAATTACAATTCAGATCCTCAGTCACATTTCGCCATACCTCAACTGCTCTGACTACCATACTAAACACTGCAGAGAACCAACATTTTCCTCATCGCAGAACATACATAGTTGATAGTTGTTGACATGCAGTGATTTTTTTTTTTAAGGCTGTAGTAGTTGACACAGCATGTCCTTGTTCTTTCTCCAGCCTTCTCTGCGGACCGCAGCAATACACGCAGAAGCCTGTTAGCCAACACAGGAGGTTTTGAACTCTTTCCATTGGTTCTTCCCCTGCTCATTGCCTGTCCTGCCTGCAGCCTGTGCTATTAACATTTAAGATGTAAAAGCAATATCCAAGAGGGAAGAAAAAAAAAACCCAAACAAACAAAAACCCACTTTTGTCTAAAGGTTTGGAGGAAAATCTATTTTCCCCCCACCCCTCCACTGAAATGATAGGGCGGGTCACACACTACCAAGGCAGTGCCCATGTAAAATGTGGCCCAAGGTAGCTGGCACCCAGATAGGCTGGCAGCATGGCAGTATTTAGGACATGCATATTGCTTATATCAATTTGCCTTGCACAAACAATAAAAATTAGAGGTTGAACTTAATCATCCAATATGCCTTTTTGTTACTTTTACCCAATTCTGTCATTTAAATTTCTTTTTTTTAAAAGAGAAAGAAAAAAACTCAACCAAGTCATGTGTTCTAGACTTAAAATTTAAAGCATTTTTGTGACCAGGCATTAGAGCTAATGGATATTGTTAAGTAAGATTCATATAAAAAAAATACTAACAACTCCCACCCATCAACTATTCTCAACATGCTAGTGTAAAACATCTCTTTGCCCACCCATCCTCACCTGTATTTACAGTAGGGGAAAAGAAACAGAAACCTCTTACCACCTTAAAAACAAAACCCCATAAATGTGAAAACATCTTCCTCTGAAGAAAGGCAGCTACATAGACTGCTAGAAACATAGAGAACTATTACAGAGCTGCTTATATAAAAAAAAATAAACAATTTGCTGCACACACCAATAAGCAGTGTGCTCGGAAACAGCCTTAGGACAATACTACCTGAACCTGAAGGAACGACCACGTGGATACGCAAAACTTTTAGAACCATTACTGGGTAAATGATGATAGAAAACATCTCACAGGCTGGCTTGGGAAGATCAATATATCCCCAAGGCCAGTCTTAAAAATAGACATCGTTGAGGTCTTTCTTCACCATGATGTTTATAAATCCACCTCATGATTTACTATGTGATTTTAGGATCCCTGCTTCCAGTCAAACGAAATAACCACAGGATAAGAGAGGTTGAGGGTCAATGCAATATATATCCTGATAATGTGCTTTTGGAATTTATTAAGTACTTAACAAGGACAGGAAAAAAATTAGAAAAACTTATTTTTCGTGACTGCAAACTATGCCTCGAAGGCCACTGAAAGAGGTGTTATCAATTAGACTTCTTTTTGAAGAGCTGGGACAGGTGGGCCTATTACACCTGTAATCCCAGCATTCAGGAGGAAGAAGCAGGAGGATCCTTGCGAGTTCCAAACCAGCCTGGGCTACAAAGTAAGCTGAAGGCCAGCTTGAAGCATAGTGAGACCCTGTCTCAAAAAGACAGGCAGGCAGACAGACAGACACAAACACGCAGACAGACAGACGGACACACACACACACACACACACACACACGAATTACCATAAAGTTAAACAATATAATGTGTTCCATAACTGAAAAACATGGACGTAAAGAGCCACGGACTCTTTCATCCCGCGTAGCAGCACTAACACATCCTATCTGAGGATGCGGCACCAAGGCCGTTCAGCAGAAGCTGCCGCAAGTGACGGGACGCGAGCACCGGGCGCCCAGCCAGCGGAGGGAGCGCGCGCGGCTGCAGGCGCTGAGGACGCAGGTAAGGCGGGCCGGCGCGGTGCAGAAGGCGGCCGAGGTCCTGGGCACGCAGCCTAGCCGGCGTCCCTCTCGCCGTCGCCGCGATTTTCCTGAGGCCCGCTAGGGGACGCGTGAGGAGGGAATCCTGCGGCAGGGCTGACGGGTGGCAGCTGGCCTGTCCCGCTTCCCGCCGGGCCGGGGCTGGCCGCACCCCGCTGTTTGTGAGCTGGCACTGGGTCACACGCGGGGACCACGGGAGGTCGGAGCCGCCTGGGTCAGCGGAGCGGGGGCTCCGCGGAGATGTGACGGCCACCCATTCACCTACACCCTGAGCTCATCGGTTCCTCGGGGAATCGACTCTCCCGCTTTGCCTTGGTTACCTCAAGCCACCAGGCGGTCGCCGGGACTGTCCACTCTTTGAAAGGGATCCTGGAGACCCAGACTGCAAGGCTGTAGCGGCCACAGGAAGGGTCCTGCGGAGTGAATGTAGGGGCCAGCGCTGCGGGTGCTGGAGGGAGGCCGTATTGGTTTATTAACACTGGAATCTTCAACTATAACAAAATAAAAAACACCGATGAATCTTACTATGTGTCATGGTTTGGGGCTTTACAAGGCCAACAATTCAATATAGGACACACTTGATAATATTATTTTGTAATGAATCACTATGGACCCCGGAACAGTCTTTACCCCCAAATTTGTTTTGAATTTCAAGGTAATTAATGCAATTAGCTTTCTAGAATTCATGAAAAGCAGTGAACTGTCTTTTCTGTAATTCTACATGGGTAGCATTTTAGTAGTATTCTACAGATTAGCTTTTTTCAGGTTGTC